TAACTGGATGAAGTGTTCACTGTGGAGCACTCCTGAGAAGAAGCTGAGAGGCATGAAGGCAGAACTGGGAGAAAACTGGCTCCTTATGCTAGTTCAAATTTAAGTAACCATGTCATCTAATTTAAAGATTCATTTTTAGTTTTGTAGAATAAGGGTTTTTTTGTTTTGTTTTGCTTTGTTTTTTGAGACAGGGTTTCTCTGCAGCTTTGGAGCCTGCCCTGGAACTAGCTCTTGTAGATCAGGCTGGTCTCAAACTCAGAGATCTGCCTGCCTGTGCTTCTCAAGTGTTGGGATTAAAGGTGTGTGCCACAACCACCCGGCATGTTTTTTTTTTCCTTTGTGCTGGAAGCTTGGTTTGTAGTTTGGGTTTACCTTTCTGATTTCTAATCTGATAAAGAATAGTTACTTTACTTTCAAACTTGGATCAGTGTATTTGGGCAAGCCATCACCCATATCACAATCCCTTTCCCTCTCTATGTGTGGACATTCTCCCACTGATCTGTCAGCAGTGAGTCTGGGGGAGTCTGAGTCCCACTGCTTTCTATAAGCATCCTGTTGTGTCTAAGTTGGTAGGCTTCTCTTAAGAAAATCAGGTGGATTCTGAATTAGTAGGTAACAGGGACACTTGTAGTGTCTTTACTAATGGAACTATTTTTATATTCAACCTTACTATTTTTGTTCCTGGAATTCCTCTGTGATCCTCTCTACCACCGGCCTGCACTGCCAAGCTGTAGTCACATGTTTTTGTATTTGGCAATTGTATTTTTTTCTAATGTCCTCTCCTTGTTTTATGGTTGCAGTGTCTTCCTCACACTGTTAGCCTTGCGAGTTTTGTTCTCTCCGACTTTCTGCAGAGGATCCCCGCGTGTGTCTCATGCGTCCCTTTTGTTCTCATCTCTAGAGCTGTGTCTTTCCCCGGATGTGGGGAAGGCAGACTCTGCCAGGGGTCTCTGTGGCAGCTGTCAGTCTTCACATGCTCTTCTCACCGGGCAGTGCTGACAGGGCAGAGCCCTTTGTGACCGTGTCATAGGGGAGACGTCAAGGCACACTGATTTCCCCAGTTTTCTGACAAGAACTCTGGCATCGGGTCTGCATGTTTTCCAGAGCCTTCCACACATATTTACGAGGCTGTCTGCAGCTCTCGTTTCCGCAGTGCCTCAATGCCATCTGCTGTGCATTCTAGAAACTCATTTTTGGTCAGTTTTGATGTGCTCTTTGGTTCTCAGTGTCAGTATATTCCTTGTCTGCGGGCTTAGAGGGAGGTAAACACAAGAACTCACCTAACCATTTCAAACCAGAGGTCTCCAGGATTCATTCTTTTAATTACTGTCCTCATTAACCTCTAATACTGCATAGTTGTAAAGAACCATTAGTGATTTCTGTAATCTTTTATCATTATTGAGACTGGGTCTCACTGTGTAGTTCTGGAACTCACTCTGTAGACCAGGCTGGCCTCAAACTCGCAGAGATCCAACTGCCTTTGCCCCCCAAGTTCTGGGATTAAAGGTGTGAGCCACCACCCAGCCCTTCTTATATTTACTCATTTATTTACTGCTGTAGTCTTTTCCTTTATCTTTTGCCTTTTCTTTACAGGGTTGGTTCTGGACATTACACAGCATATGCAGCTCATGAAGGCCGCTGGTTCCATTTCAATGACAGTACTGTGACCATGACTGATGAGGAGACCGTTGGCAAGGCAAAGGCCTACATTCTGTTCTATGTGGAGCGTCAGGCCAGAGCTGGATCAGATAAACTTTAATACTTCCTCTGACCACAGTTTAATTGTACCGGACAAACATTTCCAATTTTCCATAAATACTTGATCCAAGAGTTAATTTTGTTATGCACTTTTTCAATTTCCAGTTTGGGGTTTAGTTTGGTCAGTGGTAGTGACTTACTCAATATGGGCACCAACTAATTTTTGTTGTTGTTCTACCAGAAAACCTCAGCAGGCATCTTGATTGGCTGCTTTAGTTGTAATAACTCAAGTTTTATATGTAGTTTCCAGGACTTAGCTGTTTGACTTTTTATATTAATGTTTTCAGTTCTCACCAAGGCACATGTGCTCTGTCCTCACATTCTGGGAGCCACCCCACTTGCTGCCTTTCATAGCAGTCAGGATTGTGTGCGCAGGACCTGTGGCCACGGGTCTCACAGTGACTGCTCAGGAATTCTGACTGTAGGCAGTAGCTGAAGGGCAGGAGACCAGGCCGTTGCTACTGCCTGTGTCTCTGGGCTTCTGTTTCTCAGCGTTAAATAAACCTGTCCGTTCTGTTGCATCCATGATGAAGTCCCAGAATCACTTGATTTCTTGTTTCTGTTCTACTGTTAGTATTTCTTAGAGCAGATTGGCTAAGAACAATGAGACTCTGCTTTGTGGTAGAGGTACATTCCATGAAGCGGGCTCTGTTTGTGCATCAGAGGTGAGGTGTTGCCATCCAGAGTGGACAGTCACCTGACTTCAGGTGCTGCTGTGAGCCCTTCCAGACACAAGTGGAGTCAGCCTGAGAGCAGAGCCAGGTGAAAGTATTTTTGTCTCTGACAAGAAATAGCTTCTATTCTTGAATTCAGTAACTTAAAAAAAATTACTGTTCGCAAAAATAGGTAGAAGCACTATTTGGATTCAACCCAAATTGAAATTTGGCCCATTTAAAGAAGGCAGCTAATGGCAAGTGCTGGAGGCCAGTGATTGGATTTGGCGATGGAGGTAATGCAGCCTGCAAGTCAAGAGTACAGAGCTCCAACACAGTTTGCTCCATGGTCATCTCCGAAAGGGACAAAATGTACTTCATGCAGACTTTTTAGCGATCTTATTTTTCTATTTAAGAGAAGAGTCTGGTAGCTTTCCTTGGCTACTGTGAAGCTGATGGAGCTGGATAAATCCTGCATTCCCTCCGAGCAGAAATGACATACTGGATCAGCACTTCAATACAAACCTAACTTGATCCCATCAGGACAGTGGCCACACTCCTCAGTCACAGTAGTCATGGTCCCAGTGCCGGACGCAGGACAGTGCAGTCCAGTGCGTTTTCTACAGGGCATGGGTTCTCTTGCACAACACTGACAAAAAAAATGTGGCATTGTGTTTCCATGGGAAGCTGTGGAGCTGTGCTGAGTTACATGAGGTAGAGGCACGTGCAGTTATCTCTGTCCTGCTGGCTTGACCCACAGACACATGTGATATGATTAACACAGCTAAGCCTGACTGTGAGTCTCATCTAATCTTGAACAAGCTCATGCAGATCCAGGCCCTTCTGCCTAGAAGGGAGACCCTAGACTCTGAACAATGGCATTTGTGTCTTGGCATCTCAATGGGCCAAGACTCAGACGGAGCAGCCGTTGTCACCCCAGGTGGAATGCAGTGGCAGATTGGACTGCTGTGTTGGCATACAAGGGGACTGCATCATCTCTGGGATTTTTGTAGTGGTTTTATTGCTTGATTTTACTTAAGCAACAATGTCTGAGTGGCGCCATGAACTGCACCCATTTGCATTGTGCATCTGAACATCCATGATGTAAATGTGCCTGTATTTTAAATCTGTGTAGCCTTATCACACCTGTTATACAAGCTCATCTTTCTGTGCTGTTTATGGCTTTCCCTGTACCATGCATTCCAGCCTGCATGCAGCTTTTTGCTCAGAGCTTATGCTGAGGCAGGACCTCACACATACCCTGTCCCATCAGCCCCTGGGAACAGGAAACTCCAAGTCCTCCCACACAGGTGGGGATAGAAACAGTTTGTGGCAACACAAGTCTCTCTCCATGGTGGAGAAACCTATGCTTATCCACTGTATTCTACTCAGTGTGTAGTGACGACAGATGATCGATTAAACCAGTCACATGTGTTGGCCCTGGTTGAGTGTCGTGTGTCTCACCTGTGGAACCTACTCAATGTTATCCCTTAAAGCCAAACTTCCCTTTCTTTGGTTTAATATACATAACCAGTCACCCATTGTTACCTCCTGGCCCCTTGAGCTCTCTCACGTCCCTCCTACTGCTTGAAGTCACCTCTTGATCAAGCTCTGGAAAGGCTCAGGTAAGAACTATTTTCACAGCCAGAGCATGAGTCCCCTGTGGCCAGGAGCAGCCCTGAGGAGATGCCACATGTGTCTGTGACTCACCGCTGGGCAGTACCCACAAGTGAATGGTGGCTATGCCGAGATCATGTGCATTAAAACTAGTAGTTGATATGATGCCTGGAGGAGATCACTGTGCTCATGACTCATTTGTTCTCACCGACATCCCATCCTGGTCCCGCCTCAGCATCCAGGCTGTTAGGAGGAAAGTGGCATTAAAGGAATCTCCTCTTTCCTGTGTTACTCCTGGGTTATTTCCAGTGGAGCTAAGCAATGTCAGAGCAGCAGGGGTCATCCTATAGCCTACATGGGCAGAGGAAAGGTGGGTGGCCATAAGGGGTTCTGTACAGTCTTTTTAGGGAAAGCTGCTGCTGTCTTAAGTTTCTAGTGGTGTTGTATGAAGAGCATCTTGGCTAGTTCCGGCTCTGCAGTACAGCAGCGCCTGTCTCAGCTGTGCTGCCACACTCCACGCTCCTCCGAGGCAGGGCCGCTGGGAGTGCTTGCGTCTAAATCCACCAAACTTGCAGTTTACTGCAAGTCATGTACCATTAAGTATTCAAAAATAGAAACTAAAAAATAGTTGCCTCTGTCCATCCTCACATTTTGGGAAATACCTTCTGGGACAGATAATGAAACCATGTAGATGTATGTATGCATGTGCACGCCCACATAGAGAACATTCCAGCTGAATCTTCTAGGAAACAGTTTAGGGTAAAAATAGAGACCTTTGGGCCAAGAAAAGTCTTTGCCCAGAAAGGGCACTGGGATCTGAAGATAGCTCAGCCTCGCCTGGAAGCCATCGATCTCCTGAGCTTAAGTAACAGAAAAGAAACATGACCCTAGGCTTCCACTCACAGCTCAAAATGTGTCGCCTCCCTTAGTGCAGTGGATAGGACTAGAGCAAGAGCAAGCAGAGGAGCCACACAGACACACTCTGAGGTCTGACAAAACTCAAAGACTGAAAGAAAGTCTTTGTTTCTTTGGGCTGTTGTGACCAATCACCTCTAATGAAAACACCTTGAAAAGCCAAGAGTCCTGCGACAACAGGACTGTCAGCTCAGAGAGGGGAAAAACCTTTTAAGGAAACTTAAACTTCAGTGGGCTGCTCTTCTGCCAGGACTGTCAGGCCCTCTGAACATAAGCCGGACCACAGATGGCTGTGTGTAAGTCTGGATCCTGACACCCGCCCTCCCCACCCCGAGCCTCAGCACCAGTTGTTGGCCAAAAATAAACACCATTCCTCAACCATATATGTCCACCAGTCCTGATCTTGGAGGAAGCAGGAGGCAGGTCAGACCCTTGCCGGGCGGGCACACTCACGTGAAGCAGCCGCTCAGCATGCACATAACCCAGCTCAATCGGGAGTGCCTGCTGTGCCTCTTCTCCTTCCTGGACAAGGACAGCAGGAAGAACCTCTCCAGGACCTGCTCCCAGCTCCGAGATGTGTTTGAGGACCCCACCCTCTGGCCCCTGCTGCACTTCCATTCCCTCGCAGAGCTCAAGAAGGACAACTTCCGGCTGGGCCCTGCACTGCGCAGCCTGTCCATCTGTTGGCATTCCAGCCGCGTGCAGGTGTGCAGCATCGAGGACTGGCTCAAAAGTGCCTTCCAGAGGAGCATCTGCAGCCAGCATGACAGCCTGGTTAACGAGTTCCTCCTGCAGGTGTGCGACAGGTAGGCCACCTTGCCCCTGAGCAGTGTGGCCTTGCTGGCCTTGGCTTCAGGGGGGACAGGGAAGCACGCATTCCAAGAGCAATGTGGCTCTGACTCAGTCTAAGGCCGACAACCAGTGCCCAAGAGTTGGGTAAAATCAGCTCCCTCTCAGTCTCAGCTCCTGAAGCTGCTGCTGTGGCAGAGGAACTGAGGTTCCAAGGCCTGTCCTTGGAGCAGCTGTCTTCACTGGCAGCCATGAAGGGTTGGTTGGGTCCAGCTGAGCCTGGAGTTTTAAGGTCAAGCCCTGGGAAAAGACTCCAGAGGCATCGGTGGAGCCAGGCCTCTCATTTGGCCCAAGCAGCCCCCTAAGACCTGAGAATTGCTGATGAGGAAGGAGAGCCAAGTGCTCAGGTGAGCTGGGCTAAAGCCTGTTGCACAGTAGTGGTGTCTCTGAGGAACACACTCGTCTTGCACAGTACCCAGGGCAAGTGTTTCAGTTGTTAGAGGGGCAAAAGGGATGCTCCAAGACATAGTGCCCACTATGGGGCCACCAGATTTTTAGCAAATATATACCACCCGGTTAAATTAGAATTTGAGATGAAGCAACCCATGCCTTGCAAACATTCCCTATTTGATCTTTTGACACCTCTGCCCCCCATCCCTTGCATAGGCTGGGCCACCAAATGGGTTGGTCACACTTTCCTGGCTTTGCTGCAGTTGAAGGGAAAGTGCTCCCTGCTAGCAAACCAGTTCCAATGGCTGCCAGCTGCTGCCACACAAGGTTAATAGCCACTGTTGGCTGGCCTCAGCACAGGTACAGGAAATAACTGCAGTGGCCTGCCTCTCATGTATTCTTTTCCTTAAGTTGGGTTTGGGCTTGGCTCTGACTAGACCAGGCCAGGCCATTTTGATAGGTTTTTCAAAAAAACCAGACTGCAAGGTGATGACCGAAAAGGGGAGTTATCACAACCCCAACTTGGTTCACTCTTGCTGGAAGGTAACCAGTTTAATCCTCCAAACCAGCAAAATTTGACTTCACAGGATCTGCTGAGCACTGGTCCCCGGTGTCAGAGAAGGTGCAAAGGGAGCTGGGTTTCCCCTTCTGATACTGTGCAACTGACTCCAGACCAAGTGCATAAACTTTAATTTCACCTCATACCTTCTTTTTTTTTTTCCCTGCAAAATGAGAGAATTCTCCTATGTCACAGGTAAGAGGGTGAAGTGGCAAAGTACCTAGTCTACAGGAGAAGGGTAAAGTCAGACGGGCTGAAAGTCATCAGCTCTGGGTTCTCCTGCCTTAGTTATTCTCAATCAGGCAATTTGCTGAGGGCTTACGTGCACCTTAATAACAGCAGTATCTGGCCCAAAGTATCTACTTGTCAAGTCACCTGAGCCACTCTCTTCATCTACAAAACTGGGGTAGCACGCAGGGGTGATTAGTGCTGAAGGCGCATGGACTTCTCTGAGGGAGGCGTGGGCTCAGTGTGTGCAACGGTGCCACGCCAAGGATGTTTGAAGTTACTTTTATCTTCCCAGGCACGAGGGAGGTGCTATGGGGGGTGGGGGTGGAAAGGAACCTGGCCCTCTGGTCCAGATTCCGCTCCTTGACAGCAGGGTCCAGGCCCACTGGAAGGAGGCTCTGCCCCGGAGGAAGCAGAGTGACCCTCCTCGTCTCCAGGAAAGTGGGTATTGTCTACCTGCAGTGGGGCTCTGCACACTCAGACCTCAGTCCTCATAAGCGCATGGGTACACACTGCCCCCCACACCTACCACCCAGAAGTAAACTCTGGCCACACTACAACTAAGTCCTCGAGAGTGTCTCAACTTCAGGGCCTGGCTCCAGCTGCCTTAGGTTCCAGGCAACCGAGCTGAAAGCTAGACACAACACTCTGGCTTTTTAGCAGTTAGCCATTACTCCAGGAGACTCCTCCACCCCCAGAGTCCCCGTGCACGATCCCAGCTGTCCTTCCCAGAGACTCAGGACACCGGCTCCTGCAGACACAGGGGACCCTGGCCACAGTCCTAGCCTTTCGGACTCGCGGCTGCCGTCTCCATTGTAGGACTCCCGGGTCCTGTTGCTCCTCGGCCCCGTGTCACCGCGCTTTCCCCGCAGGTGCCCCAACCTGGCGTCCCTTACGCTTTCGGGCTGCGGCCACGTCACCGACGACTGTCTGACTCGCCTGTTGCTCAGCTGCCCGCGCCTGCGTGCGCTGCGCCTCGAGAACTGCGCGCGCGTTACCAACCGCACTCTGGTGGCCGTGGCCGCGCACGGGCGCGCGCTGCAGACTCTACACGTGGACTTCTGCCGCAACGTGAGCGCCGCTGGCCTGCTTCGCCTGCGCGCTGCCTGCCCGAGCCTGACCCTGAGCGCGGAGCACAGCGCGGCCATGATCCCCGACCAGCCGCCGCGCGCTCGCGGGTGCGCCGCCTCGCTTTTCCCGGCCGCACCTAGGGGACAGTGCCTACCTCACCCGACGAGTTCCTGTGGAGGACGCCCGCGCGATTAAACGAGCGATGTTTGTGAAACACTCGGTGCGTCTTTTTATAGGTCCCTTCCGACCCCGCGGCTAGCCCGCGCACTAGGCTGGCGAGCAGCCTATGAAGGGCGGGAGAAAGAACCCGAGCCTGGTGCCTCCCTAGCCGCTTATGCCCACACGGAAGCAGGATGCACAAGCAATTCTAGAAAACTCGCCCCTGTCACTGCATGACTGATAGTTACCAATTAGTTCTCCTACGGTTCTCACGAGGGAAAACGCATCACTTTTTAAAAAGCCAACATTTAAAGATAAAAGTAGTAGTAGCTCTGGTTAAGTGCTTGGACATGGAACCATTATTAGCTGATGGGAAAAACAAAAACAAAAGAACGAGATTTTCATTTCCTAAATTTCTGGCCGTGGGCCTGAACTTCAGGTCAGTTTCACTTTAGTTGTCCTGTCCCTGTGGTCAGGGCCTAGAGAGGGACCGGACAAGCAGGGTAAATGGACAGTCAGGAGGTGGGCAAGCTCAAGTTCCACCGCCAGCTGTATCCAGATTCAGTCATTTATCTGCAGCCAGGTTTTTCAGTTTTCTGTGAAAGTTTCCCGATCGCAACCCAGAGGTTCCTTAATTTGTTCCCAAACGAGAAACAGCATGAAAAAGACAAATTCTGTTCTGTTCCCACAGTCTCTATTCAGAGTAGAGGCATTAATTGGTCCAGAAGGTGGCTCGTGGGGCAGGATGGGGATGACTCGGATTGGGTTCACTCAAGGAGATATAGTTGTGAGCCATGAAAAGAGCCAGGGAGCCCAGCAAGTCATATGGAAAGTTTACAGGCCAAGAAACTGCAGGGTGCCAGAGTAGGAACATGACTGAGGTGCTAGCAACAGCAATGAGATCAGCATGGCTGGAGTAGGGAGGAGAGGAGCTGAGGACCCAATGCAGGGATATGAAGGACAGATAATGAGGAGGACTAAACGAGCCCCTGGAGGCCACCTCATGCCAGCAGGAACCAGCACACCAAACACAGGAGTCTGTGAAGTCCACTGATGTGGCAGGCAAAACCTCCAAGTCCCTGTGGACTGCTGAGGGGTTTTCCTGCTGCTGCTGCCAGGTTCTGAGCAGTGGCAGCACCTAGCCCAGAATCAGGACAACACACACACTAGCCCTGGCCTTTTAATCTGTGGTAAAGTGTTATTAGAAGTAAGTATACTCCATTCTGTTGGTCCCCTGGACCAGGCTTCCTTTGCCCGCCTGTTCCCAAAGCCACTTATGAAATAACCACTCTGAGACTTAATATTAATTACATACTCTTTGGCTCGGGCTTCTTATTAACTAACTTTTACAACTTAAATTAACTCCTAATTCTTATCTATGTTTAGCCATGTGGCTTGGCATCTTTTCTCAGTAAGTCATGCTCATCTTGCTTCCTCTGCGTCTGGCTGGTGACTCAGTCTCTGCCTTTCCTCTTCCCCAAATTCTCTTAGTCTGGTCATTCCTGCCTAGCTACTGGCCAACCAGCGTTTTATTAAACTAATATGAGTGACAGATCTTAACAGTGTACAAGAGCACTATCCCACAGCAGGAAAGCCAGTGTGCCACCCAGGGGAGTGTTCCAACTAAGACGTGACCTTTCCATTAGCAGGCAGATCTCAGGAAGCACATGGCTCCTTCAGGGAAGGTGGGTAAGCCAGGGCAGACGTGGCTACCACAACCGCTGGAAAGAGCCTTGGGAGCGATCTGTGCCTTCACAGGTTTTATCAGACCACATTTCTCACCAGCTCCTGGGATGCCTGTCTTCTTAATCTCCTTTTGGCCAAGATCACATACTAGGAAGCTGAGGTGAGTGCACAAGGGTTAGGGTTAGAGCCTGCACAAGGCAGACCACCTTCTTGACTGGAAACTGCCCTGAGAGCCTGGGGTCAGTAGAGACTAGGGCCAGGAATGTTTAGGTGGTGGGTCGTAGAGTCCTTGAAAAGTGAGTGACTTGTTTTATGGGGGCACATACTAGTTACTCACTAGTTAAGCCTCCTGGATTCTACCACAGCAGCGCTGTGACCCAGTGCTTTTCCTGAGGACATAACGGGAGACCACCTGACCCAGAGACCTCCTGCCAGCTCTTCCAATCAGTGTCCAACACATGCCTTTTGATCTTAGATACTGAGCTAACCAGACACAGTGCTTCATCTAGCAAAGGTCACAATCTAGGAGGAGTGGAACAAACCCATGTTGCATGGACATCTGGGAAAAGCTGGACTTTAAAGGGTCTATGCTTTCTTGAGATTGATTAACGGCTTAAATACGCAAGTATTTGTTAACAGAATGAGACCAGCAATTAAACTATCCAAATCTCTACAGGGGGTGAATGTAACCAAGGTAAACCAAATTCCTGTCCCTAGACCTAACTGCTGCTCCACAGATAGGAACCCTAGCCTTCAAGAATCCAGAGAAGAAACAACAAAGCAAGTAGGTTTCCAGCCAAGAGACAGCATCTGCATCTGCGTAGACTCTTCCCCAAGGGTTGGGTCTGAGAAGTGGGTTTGGGCACCATCTCCACCCTCTCCAGGCAGGGTAAATCTGCTGTTAAAGGCCCAAGCCCACAGGATTGAGGCTTTTTTTTCCCCATTAAAATGAACTGAAGCCTGCAGTGCACACCCTCAGCTCAGCAAGAGGAAAGCCCTGCTTGTCACTAGGTCGAACCCAGGAGTCAAAGGGACTTTAATCTCATTAGCAGAGCCCTACTCTCCTAGTGAGACTTTCCTGTTCCAGAGGCCCAGGTAGTGCCTTCCTACCTCAAGCTCACAATTAAGGGCTTGCTTTATCCACAAGTCCCTGGTGTCCCCCAGAAACTTTAATCGTTCTCTAGGGCCTAATCCCATATGAAAACTTCAGTAAAATGATGCCAGGATTCTCAGCTTTACCAGGGATTTCCCCTCAGATTCATGCACTACTTATGGCTGGCAGGGCCTCATTTTTCTTTTTTTCCTTTTTTTTTATTTTTATTTTTTTTAAATATTTATTTTATTATGTATACAATATTCTTTCTGTGTGTTTGCCTGAAAGCCAGAAGAGGGCACCAGACCTCATTACAGATGGTTGTGAGCCACCATGTGGTTGCTGGGAAATGAACTCAGGACCTTTGGAAGAGCAGGCAATGCTCTTAACCGCTGAGCCATCTCTCCAGCCCCAGGGCCTCATTTTTCATGTTCTCTACAGACACTTGCCTTTCTACTGATAAATGGCTGCTTTCCCATTCCCCTGCCTGGTACCTTATTTGAGTGGGATGTCAGCAATGACCTTTCCCTTTAGTCCATGGGAAGCAGCTTGTGACACAGACGTGGTGGGAGTAAGAGAGACAAGCTGCCCATAGACCTCCAACTCTTTTTGGTTTAGTACAGAAGCCTCATAGCCACCGAGATTCAGCCACCGCACGCTCAGATGACACTCTAGCACAGTCTCCTGGGGCTGGGTTCAAGTACCAATGGGGTACTTGTCCTCCCCCACAATTTGCCGCCGTCCACACACTCTTCTCGTATGAAGTCACTCAGTTACCCACTCACCCACGGCTCCTTATTTATGCCTGCTGAGTCCCTGCAGGTACACAGCTGTCCCTGCCCTTTGGTGCTATCGCTTGCTCGTTCTGTCTCCGAGTTCTTTACCACATGGCATTGGCACAGAGATGCTGTCTCACCCCGGATGTGCTGAGGCTTTGCAGGAGGAATGGTGGTGCCAAAAAAGCTCTCCTCTTGGGTGAGGGAACAAAACGAGAGACCCAGGATGCCAGCAGAACAAAGGGAAGGAGGCATTCAAGCCCCGGCTTCTCCACCACTGCAATCCTCAGTAGTGCGCTTTTCAGATGAAACCTGCCCCCAGGTTCTGAATGGCCAAAAAGCATCAATCCCCATTCTGATTCCTGAATCTGCTTTATTTCTCTGCAGAAGGAACCCTGCACAGGCGAATCAAACTAAAACAAAATAAATATATGAATATTCATGTAAAACTGTCCTTTCTAATGAACAATTATACACAATGTACAATTTCATGTTCACTGGGTGGGCTTACAAAAATGTATCATTCCCAACTAAAAATGCACCAAAATGGTTCCATGCAAACTTATCCAAAGTGACCAAAAATACAGAGGGAAACCTGACTGAGCAGTTTCTGCTTTTGTTTTTGTACAATCACAGAAAAATAAAAACATCTAATTTCTTTGTTTCATTTGAAGTAACTAAATGTGGCCACTGTTTATGTCAGTTTATGTTCCTAAAACATCTATGCAGTTACCATAAAAGTCTATCAACATCAACTCGGAAGTGAGCATTATTGAGAAGGGGTGACAGCACCCTCAGCAGTCAGTAGTCAGTGTCAGAGCCCTCGGCATTGTCCACGTTTCTCGAGAGCATGTAGTTGTCCATGTCAATTGAACGGCAGTTGTTGATGGCATAGCGCAGGCGCTCAGCCATGACCAGCTGGCTGGAATAGGGGGGCAGTCGCAGCTGGAAGAAGCAGGTCTGTGAGGTAGGCAGACTGTCATAAGGCTGTGGAGAGACAGACCCAGAGAGAGCCGTTACCCAGTGCACTGCAATACCAAAGAGTGTGGAGCTACCACCAAGACAGGAAAGGGCTTCTCCCTTACTTCAAGACAGAATCCTAGACTGTGACCATCTGGCTGTTTGCATGGAAGCAGAGATTAGTTAGGTCCTGGCAAAGGCACATGGAATCCATTGTCCTAAGACTTTCAGGCAAGTTACTTCCTCCTTCCCACTTCCTTCAATGGCCCTGTGATATCAAGTGATAGCCCTGACTAGGGCTGCATGGGAGAACACTGCACAGAATCTGTCAGACAGGAGAGTATGGTGAGAGTTCCCTCCTGCCTATCAAGGGGCACAGACTTGAGGTCATGGTGGGGATCCCCCAACAAAGAGGGTGAAGTGGAAGGAGCCAGCCCTTCTCTGCTGCAATACTGCACTGTGATCTGAAGCACCCCACTGCTGGTCACAACCCAGAGACTGCACTTGGCCCACAGCGATGCCCACACTAAAAATGG